TTCATTACTACCTTGAGGGCAGTTCTAGCCTTCTCAACTCTTGTGGCAGTTGATTGCCAAGTTCTTGGTCAACTGCCAAATCTTCAGTCCAGTATGGATCTCGCTGAGATGCTTTGGAACTGCTTGCCAAATACTGCCAGTTGCTCGCCCAACATTTGTTTCTCCCTTCTCTATGACTGAGAAAACCCTGATTTTCTAAAAGGTGACTATAAACCCAGTTAAAATCTTCTTTACACTTGCTTGCAGCTAAGTATGACCATGTGACCGAGCTGAAACCAGTGAAATGTAAGTGAAGTTTCGACAGTGTCCGTTTCCACATAAAATGGCAAAGCCTAGCAAAGAGGCCTTTTGCCTTTTACCCTTCATTCTTTTTCTTCTTCCTACCTGAACACAGACATGATGCCAAAAAGAGGCAACCATTTTGTCGCTATGAGGATAAAGGCCATTATTAAGAAAGACAGATCGAGGAGTCTGGGTTCCCTGGTGGTATCATGGAGCTACTGTACAAATCCTAGACAGTCTTTCCTTCAGACTTCTTTTAACATGAGAAAAATAAACTCTTGTTTGGTTCAACCACTGAGGATGACTGTTCCAGACAGCCATGTGCAAACCCCAACCAATATAACCTGAAGACTCCTGGAGTCTTCATCTGGGCTTCATTCCCCTTCCTACCAAATTGAGACTCATGGTCAACTCTTGGCTGTAGGGGGAGTTAGCTGGATAACGTTTATGAAGTACTTATAGTCCAGGCTCCGTGGCTCAGCCTGTAATCCCAGCACTTTGGGAGGCCGAGGCGAGTGGATTGCCTGAGCCTGTGGGTTCGAGACAAACTTGGGCAACTTGGCGAGACCTCATCTCTACAAAAAATTTCTAAAAAATTAGCCAGGCATGGTAGTGTTCGCCTGTAGTTCTGGCTACTTGAGAGGCCGAGGCGGAAGGATCACTGGAGTCCTGTAGGTCGACGCTGGGGTGGCCGTGAGCGTGCCACTACACTCCAGCCTGGGCGACAGAGTGAGACTCCAACTCATAATAATAATAATAATAATAAATAAAACACATAAAGAATTTGATAGGAGTGGTATGGCATGCTTGTAAGAATATATGTTTTTTTAAAATATTACAATTTTTTTCTTGCAAGCAGAACTTTGTGCAAGGTAGTCTCCTCCCTCTTCCTCACAGTAGCCAGAGGCATCTATTTCCTCAGGGAAGATTAGGATTGTTAAACTCGGAAAGCAAAGCCAAAAGCAAAGGAAAGTGAAGCCTAACTGGTTTCCTAGAGGTCCAGTTTGCACAGAAAAGGCAGAATAAATGCACAATTGTTTTTTTTTTTTCCTAAAACAGCTTTCAAGATATTGAACTGGTTCCCCCAAACCATCAAGCGATCAATCTGTTCAATTGTTTTAAAAATATTATGAACATAATTATAGTCATGTTTGATGTGTTCAAAACTAGTACCTTTTTTGATGTTCAGATTGGCCCATCTTTGGTCAGTGGGAGTCTCTTTGAATTGTTTCCTGAGTTTTTTTGGACCCAACCCTAGTAGGGGCTGATACTTTCCTTGCTTTTTGAAAGACACGTAGAGATAAAATAGCATGATGCCTGGAATTTACTTCAAAAAGATGGTATGGGAAAAAAGAGGTATAAATGAAATACGATGAGCAATGAATTGATAGTTATTCAAGCTGGTGACAGCCCCAGGGAGGATCGTTATACTATTTTCTTACATGTGTCCATGCTTGAAATTTTCTAAACTAAAAAGACTAAAAAGTTTAGCCCAGAGAGCTGTGGTGGTGCATGCCTGTCGTTCCTGCTGCTCGGGAGGCTGAGTCAGGAGGATCACTTGATCCCAGGAGTCTGAGATCGGCCTGGGCAACCTAGTGAGACTCCATCTCAAAGAAGAAAAAAATCTCAGCCTTTAACTTCCAAAACAGGGTCTGTACATCCTTAGCAAGACAATCGTCTCGAGTGCGTGGATTTGATGGGAGAAAAAGAAATATTTATGTTCCCAGGGCTTCTCTTGACTTCTCCATGGACAGACACAGAGGTCTGAGTCCAGAGCTGTCCTGGAAGTCAGAGGTAACGAGCTCTCTCGGGCTACACACTGTATCACCCCGTCCGAAGGAGGGAGTGAAGAAACCCCCTCTGACGGGGCGGAGAGCAGGACGATGAGGGCAGGAGAGCGGGAGACGCGCGGGAAGCCTCAGAGCTTCAGGGGGTGGGTCCCTTCCGGCGGCTTTGGTGGTGGCCACAGGGCTGGGCACGGCAGGTGCCCCGCGACCGGCTGGCCCCATCTTCTCCCACTGTGTTCCCCGGCTTCTTGCCTCTAATCCCACACGTGCCTGACTCCATTTCTGGGGGTGCGGGGGCGACGTTGCCCTCCACGCCGGACGGGAAGGAACAGCGGACGCGGGAGGTCCAGAGGCCAGAATCCAAACCCTGTCAGCGACTCAAGACCACTGGGTCTTGGGTCTCCGCGCGTCACCCACGGAAGCAAGGTGGGCCTGCAGGACTCACGACCCCGCGGCGTCCCAGCCGTGCAGATGGGAAACCCGCAGAGAAAGCAGGCCCCGAGCA